TCGACATTAGCTCGAAAGCAACATCCCTATGGCTAAGGCCATTACTAAAGGAAAAAATTCGACATAAGAGCAATATCGCTCGAAACGCAATAGGTAACATTTCGACAACTCGAAATAAGCACGACTACGACAAAGGACGTCACCAAATAAACAAACACAATAAGAAAAAAATTCAGAGGTACACAATAAAAAGTAATTACTCCATTACAACTGTTATATTACAATAGTTTTTTTACAAAGGGCTCAAGAACGCCCCCACAAAAATGGCAAAGCAAAATAAATCCAGCCAAGCCCTACGCCACATCACCCCCCGTGGCATACTCCTCATTGTACCAAGAGTCGAAGGCGAGCTTGTTCGCATCGTCGAAATCGACATCGTCTCCGCCAGGCGTGGTAGAGTCGTAACCACACGCCTCTCGAGCGGCAGGCGCTTTAATATGCACCTCTCGGAGTTCCACCTTAGATATTTTCCCATCAGCGTGAAGAGACTTATATACGTCAAGCTGGGCTTCGGCATGAACCCATAGCTCATATAAATCTCGAGGCATGACAGGGTCGGCCGAAGCATGGGAAGTAGAAGGCTGCGACTGTCGTCGTACGTCCTCCGCCTTCAAAGCGGCAATTTGTTCATTTAATGCGGACAATTTCGCCTCCAGATCTCGGATACGCCCCTCAAATCTCGCCACCTTAAGCACAGATGCCTCCACTTCCTTGTCCCGTTCTGATCTACAAACACGGAGGGCTTCTTCCAAAGCCACTGCCTCCGAGACGGCAGTTTCCCTATCCCTTTCGGCGTGAGCCAACCCATCAGCATTAGCACTCAGCTCACCTTTAAGGTCGACGATCTCCGCCGCCTTCTTGTCAAGATCGACAGTTAAGTTGGCCACCTGTACTTGGAGGTCGGCATTTTTGGCAATCACTCCCTTGCTCATCTTCCCTGACCTTAAGGGCCGCCTCAAGTTCACTATAATGGGCAATGGCCTTCATAAGGTCCTCATCTCATTCCTTCAGTTCTTCGACCTTATGCGCCAATTGATCCTCCCTTTGCTTAAGCCCATCGCGGAACAACTGAAAGTCGCGATCCTGAGTAAAGATGTCGGCCATCGCATGATGCTTGGTGCGGTACTCCTGATATTTGGAGGACATCTTCCCAAAGACAACCGTCCTCCGCCTTTCCCGACGTTTATGCTCGATCTCCATGATGAGGTTCTAATATGAAAAACAAAGTTAAAACAAAAGAATGGGCCAAGGATACGAAACAGATCCAACAACGAAAAGAAAAGAGAAGCATTTACCCGTAGAGCCATGCTGGAAACGCTCCGTGACAACTCTGCATCACTCATCGCTTTAAGTGTCGCGCTCTCAGGAGTAGCGCATAAAGGGGCAAACACCGATGCCACCTGATCGCACTTCGACAATAAGTCGTGGTCCCTAGGGACGACTATGTGCCGATCAGAACCCTCCGTTCTAACCTCTACATGAGTGTGACGCTCCAAGAACTCTCGTACATCTCCTGGGTCGACGTCTGAACCCAAGACGTCGCCCCCGGCGTGTACGCCTCCTCCAACGGTAGATGATGCACCACCCCCGGCGGAGCGCATATACCCCCCTCCTTGGTATACTCCTTCAGCCCGGGGGGACCTCCCTGCCAAGATAGCGTCCGCCACAGGCACAGGTGCCGTCTCCGACGCACCTGTTCTACTCTTACCAGCATCAATGACAACGTCTTTCCCGAGTTCTACCCTCCTCTTTTTTCTTGATAGAGATTCGTCCCCATTAGAGGGCTCATCCACGAGGTGATAGACCGGTCGAGAGGAGATCTCATCCCATACAACCATATCCCGAGAGGAGTCCCTCACCTGTACCGGTTGAGCACGACCCCCTCGGACGGACTCCTCCAAGGTAAATTGCATCCCTGCCGATGCGATGGCCTGACAAAATGCAGGGACTGGGGCCCTCCTTCTAGAAGCCCTATGACCTGTCATCACAAGGAGTCGTATCAATAAACAACGGCGAATAGCCAAAGATCGACACAGAGGAAAACACTTACCGGATGGGACCTTCGGCCCAAAGCGTTTTATAAAAGTAGGCCAATCTTGAGTTTCCACCGCGTAAGGCAGTAAACGGGTTACCCAGTCCCTTTAACCGACGATGGGATAGGGTGTATGCCCCACAACTGCAAAGGAAAGCTACAGATAAATACTAAGTTGAACAAAAAAAAAAAAAGTAAACAAGTTCCAACACCTACGATTATAATTCCACCGCTCAGGGAATCCAGCGGGGTCCGACACAATGTGCTCGGTTCTGACAAAGAAGTATTTATGCCAAAATTTGCGGCTTGCCCGGTCGTCTGTTCTGACCACCAGCCCCTTGGTCCCACGATGCCTCAAGTGTACCATAGTACCCCTGTGAGAACTAGGGGAAAACAAGTGCAAAAGGTGCTGAATGCCAACTTCGCACCCCGCCAACTCCGCGTACTTCGTCAATACCAGAAATATCTTGTACGTGTACGGAGAAAGCTGCGCCGGGCAGACCTCATAAAACCGACAGAATTCCTCCGCTAACGGAAGAAGGGGGAAGGAGTGACCGATCACGAAGGTATATACGTAAAAAGCACAATATCCCGGTCTATGGACCTCCACGAGGTTCCTCCCCGCTGGAACCATCTCGACATGAGGGGGAATGTTATGCGTAGTACGGAGGTCATCTATATGAGCCTGCTCAATCTCAAACACTACCGGAGCGGGAGTAAGGGCAGGTTCTTTAAGAAAATCATTTCTAGACATGGGGTGTCTCGGTAATACCTCTTCCACGGTGGGAAAACTGTCCCCTTCCTCTATCGCCGTGTCTTCACCACCAGAAGGAAGTGCCATGGATAACGGGGTGGCGTCAGAAATCTCCTCGTGTGATCGGTGTGTTCTAGGCATATCTATGGCAGAAGATGTGTTGATAAAATGAAAAACCAAGAACGATAAATGAAAGAGAGGAAACGAAGAAATCGCAAAAACAGAGCTGAAGATACAAGAAGAAATAACCAAGGAAAGCAATACATACACCAAAGAGGAGATGGCTAAGAGTTTTTGAAAAAACCAAACCTTTCACCTATTTATAAGGTTGGGTGGCGCCAGAATCGAAGCGGAAGACTGCCAATGGCACAAAAACCAAAGCGACAAGCCATCAGTCTCTGTCTCGGAAAGACGCGTAATGATGACGCACGTGGAAGTGACGTCATTTCCCAATAGGTCACACCATCCAAGATATCATGAAGTGCACTGCTCTTCCGTTATTGACCAAACCGTTATGATTCGCTAGCCAAATTTCTCCGCAGGTATAGGCGATGTCCGCTTATCAAGGACGCACCGGGCCGCAACCTCGACAAGCGGAGGGACTAACTGTATAGGTCTAAATTTGACAACCACGACCACTACTGAGTACGACGAGGAACGAGGTCATCATGGTGTAGCTTCCCATGGTCATTGTGATAAAAGGCAGCGACCAAGAGTGGTTAGTTAACGCACGACGTCTGCAGTAGTGTAAGCTTAGTAGGAGACAGTAGGGATATGATTTTCGAATATCCTTTATGTTGTACCTTTTTAGGGTTTCAAAAGAGATTTGTCCCTTATAAATAGGGAAAGTCAGTGGAGAAAAAGAAGGAGGAGGGAGACAAGAACACTTTGTAAAAGAACCATTTCAGAGTGAATACAAAAGAGAACCTTGTCATTGATTACAGATTTGAAACTTAACATCTTTGTTCGATATAAGAAGGATTCAGGATCCTACCATCATCTGAACATCATCTCCTATCTAAGTCAATCGCATTCATTACGTTTGATTCTGCATTTAAGTCTTCACATTTTTGAGTATTTATTCGATTTGAACAGACTTGTTATATCGTTCATCTTGCTTACTCCTTCCATCATTTGATCTAGATTTTATTGTGCTTGATTAAGATTGACCTCATCATTATTATTAATTATTTAAATCAAAAAGGTTTTGACATCTTTTGGTCAAATAAGTGATTTTTGTTTTAAAGAGTTTTATAAGTATAATTTAACTTTTCTAAATAGTTTTAGGGGTAGCTATCAATGATAAACATATATCTCTTGAAAACTAATTCATACGGAGAAGTAAAAAAAATAACTTTTATATTTGACTAATTAATAATCCTGTCTAAAGACATTATTCCAAGTAGAGTTTTGCAAACGTTTTCCTTGAACTTCTAGTCATTTCAAGCTTTCTTAATCAATATTAATTCAGGGAAAAGTAGAAAACTGAAATGGCCAATGGCACAAAACTAATCTCATTTTAGATAAATGTCATATAAGATATATTCTGCAAAATACAAGAAAGATATTTGTAATCAGAGTAACAGCTTGTTTGGATGGTTGTTACCCATTGTATCGTATCGTATTGTTACTTTAAATACAATGTTTGTTTTGATTGTTACTTTAATTTTATTGTATCGTATCGTTAAAATTCGTCGTTACATAACGATGAAATGTGCCACTTTATGTAACGACCGATTTGGTTTGGTCGCGTCGTTATCTTGTCTTTTTCTCTCAATCTCGCCCTATATTATTATTAAATCATATTATTTTATCATTTACCCTACCTTTTTATATAGTAATTTTATCTTGTATCATAATTTGTCTTTACAATATTGCAAGTTTATTCTTCATATTGCTGGTGCGTGATATCATGAAACAATGGCAAACGACACAATCTATCCAAACATTGTATTTATCAAACAATACAGTACAATACAATACAGTACGATACGATACATTATGAAACGATGCGTAGCAACCATCCAAACAAGCTCTAAACCTCAAGGAGGTTGGTGTAAACACAATAATCACGAAGCAAAATTGAGGCCAATTTCACGAAAAGGGCAAAAATTTGTTCCAACTTAGTGCATCTGTCAAAACGAAAATGACACATTTTCTTCGTATAAGGTTTATATTGATTAAACAATAAGCATTTTTCTTCTTCTTAATTTACACCATAATTTTAATAAATTAGCATGACTTTGTTACAACTCGGAATAAGTAAGTAGTAGCAGTAGTATTTTCCCGAAACAAAATTGTTCAGGCTACGGATGTCACGTGATATACGGGCTCTCGGACTCTTAACCGACACAATTTGTCGGTTTAGGCACATAGTGTCCTCTATCAACACATGCGACCGTTTGAAAACGGCGACACGCACCGATTCGCCCTCTACAAAAGCAAAAATTGGTCCACAATTCTCGACTCACAATCGATTTTCTCATTAGTCTTCCCAATTCAACAAACTTAGGGCTTTTTCTCCTACAATGGAGGTAACAAAGGAATCCGAGAGTTTGCTCGACAAAATCCGACCTCCTCGTCTCGAAGACGCAGGCCTCGAAGATTGTGCACTGCCACCCGAATCAATCAAAGAAGCATTTCTTAAAGCCGCCACTGCCGTACGATCTATAATTTCAGCGTCGGACGACGAAGACGAATCCGAAGGGCAGTGTGTGCAGACTCCATCCTCAATCGAGGATTCTAAGGATGCTCTTATAGGGATCACTGAGGGTATTGAGGAAAATCCAGGAAAATGCATTACTGAGAAGAGCAGCGGCGGTCAAGTGCCGGAGGGGACGACTGATGTGGTAGTTGTAGACGGTGCTAAGGAGGAGGAGAACACCGGAGATTTGGTCGGTGAGCCATCTCTGCCGGAAGGCGGTGAATCGTGTGTGGATGGGTTGCAGGGGTTGGAGATTGGAAGCAAAGGCGGAAAGAAAAAGGAAGTGAAAGAGGAGGAGGAAGACGAAGGAAGTGAGAAGCCGACTCTAGTTGAAGGTTATGTTGTATGAATGTATTAATTGTACGAGATAACTCTAATTTTGTGTAAATTTCATGAATAATTTAGTACTAGTAGTACTAGATAGTACTATGTAAAAGTTTGTGTATCTAACGCTAAAAATGATGAATTTATGTAATCATGTGCCCCTTTTTACTCTATTTTTCGAAGGTGCCTCTTTTGTTTTTTTTGTTTTTTTAAACCTTCTGCAATCAGATAAGTGAAAAGTTAAAACTTGTGTTTCTGCATTTGTGGCAGTAAGAAAATGAAAGTTACAGGGAATCAGGAATGGTTCGCAACTCTTTCCTAGGCTTTGCTTAAGTTGAATATGTTTAAATCATATTTGGTCACGAGGTACAATAAGGTTCACGTTTTCTCTGCAATCAATATGCCAGTCTTTTGTCTCATACGCGGTAGTTGAGATCTTAGAGTTGTAATAATTTTTCTGCATTAAACGAGGTTTTTCAATCTGAATTTGGAGTTAGAGTTGTGATGCCATCTGATTCAACTTGTCGGGTTGGCTGGGGTTGTTGATGCTGATTACTTGATGTTACTACTTACTGGAATACCACAGAGCCATGGAAACTGGGAAATTGAATGTAATGAGACTTAAAAGACGGATTCAGGATTTAATGATTATGGATTCCTGCAACGATCTCGAGTAAATTTTCAATAGTAATTAGGTTCACATTGAAACATTTATAGATGTTTATTAAATTTTTCGAACACATTTACACTGTTTGGACAAAAGTTACCGAGTTCACGTGAATCCGTAGGTCGCAAGGTAGATTCACACCTGATGAGACTACATGGCATTAATATTTGGGGTACAATCATATACGAAGACGGGGTAATGTGATGCAACTAATGGGGGGTTGAAACAACTGGGTAAGAAGGTTAAAAAAAAAAAAGAAGGCTATTCACTCTTTTCTCTGCTTTAAGTTAATGTCTTCTCCAATTGTTTCATTAAAAATTAAGGATATAAAACTACCTTTTCGATGCTAATAATTGGTAACGTGATGATGTATGAGGAAGGTGTCCTCCATCTATTGTTTTTTTTCACTATTATAGCATGTTATAATGACTATTCAACAATAACAATTATGCCTTAATTCAAAGCAAGTTAGAATATATTGCGAAAATTTATCAAAAAATTATTAGTTTTACTCTAATTGCCTATCTACCTTAATCCTCCTCTTTTTAAATAAATGAAACAGAGAAAGCTCCTGTGTTTATGCAGCAGTAAGAGCAAATCAATAATGATCCTCAACTGTCAGTCTCATAGAATAGTTTTCTTAAGTTAGAGTGTCAATTCTTGTTTGGCCAACAAGTGCAAAAACATGGAACACGTTTTTGTAGTAACTCCGTTTCAGCAGTGGTAGTAGAGATCCATATATTTATTACTGAGTATTCAATTATTAAGTTGACACATTCACACATCTTGCACAAAGAAGTCAAGTATTTTTCCATAAACAAATACAAGTTAGTAGGATATCAACTCAACGATAAAAAGGGCAGTTCGGTGCACTAAGCTATTGCTATATGCGGGGTATGGGGAAGGGCTGGACCACAAGAGTCTATTATACGCAACCTTACTGCATTTTTGTAAGAGTTTGTTTTCACGATTCGAACCCCATGACCTCCTGATCACATGACAATAAGTTTAACAGTTACGCCAAGGCTCCCCTCATCAACCCAACCATCTAAATTAAAAATAGTGAAAGTGTGGTCATGATGCCATATGAAACTTGTCTGGTTGGATTTAGCTGGTAGATGTTGCTGACTTCATTAAATGTAGACCTAAAATTAATATTGGGTTTATATAATAACATAAATTTGGTACAATATGATTGCATCAATGGTTTTGTCACATACTCTTTACTGCAAATTATTTTACGTTTACCACGGAGTAAAAAATCTGTTTGATCTTTTTCTCTCTATCTCTCTTTACTTATATACTGATCTGTTCTTTCTAATTAGAGACAGTATAAATCTTATTTAATGATAGCCATTAGTGAATGACTTTGCGCAAATGTACGAGGATGACTCATCTAGTCTGTCCCATCTTTTTGTCCAAAACAAAAATATTCCTAAAACTATACTAAGGGGACCCTACATTTATGTTAAAATTATTACGACTGCGTTGAAGTTGACATTTTTACGTGAGGAAATGCTCATTGATTAGTGCTAAACTTAAAAAATAAACGCAATAATTTGAGTACCACGAGTTTCCATATCTTACTCCTTGTTTGGTTGGTTGTACCCGTTGTATCGTATTGTATTGTTATCCCAAATAATATTTATTTTGATTATTTCATTAAAATTGGTTGTATTGTATTGCTAAATTCATTGTTCCAGAACAATGAAATGTCCCTTTTTTTTAAACAATCGATTTGGTGTGGTGGGATTGTTTCCTATTTTTCTTTTCAATTATGCCCTAACTTATTACTCCACAATTCTATTTTACCCTTTACCTTTTTTTTTTCTATTTTAACTCCAAATCTCCAACCTATAACCTACTCTTTTTTTTCGAGAACTTCTGCCGCCAACGTTAAAGGTGTTTTAACGCCTTCTGTTTTATATTTTCTCCTAATTTGCTTTTAACTCGATTCTAATTAGCTATGCTCCTTTGTTTTGCCTTCTTCTTTCTCGCTCCTCTGTTCTGCTTTCTTAAGGTGTTTTGCGTTCTTCTGTTTTGTTTTTTAAAATTATTTGTATGCATAATTTTAGATAAATTTAATATATAAAAACAATTGAGGGCATTTTAGTAAACTTATCAGTTACAGTACAGTACCATACAGTCAAACCAAACAGTAAAATATTATTTAACAATAACAAATAATACAATCTATCCAAACATTGTCTTCATAAAACGATACGATACGATATAATACATTATAAAACGATAGGGAACAATAATCCAAACTGAGTGTTAGTTTACGTCTGCTGCAATGAAAAGACTTCTTTATACAGAGATGTTTCTGTCTCCTCTGTATAAAGATTGAAGGCGTTGAACTCCCAAGTTACTTCCTTTTTTCCTTATTTTATTCCCTAAAGTTGTTCTTGTTCTATAGCTACTTAGATATTTCTTGATTTTCTTACTCCTAATTTGAGATTTGTGACTTTGGGTCAATCTTTTAGTCTTGATTATCTCAGAAGAGTGACAGTTAGGAGCAAAAACAAGGTGGGAATTTAGCAATTGATGGAGGGTTTGACAGCATATACAGTTGTTGTGCTTGTTCTAGCTTTAGCTATCGTTGTATCTGCGGAGCAAATTCTACATGAGACTATTTTGAGCAACAATGGAACAACTCAGAGCACTGAATCATATAACTTCTTTCACCTATTCAATCTTGATAGTGACATGCATTACCACCATGTTTGGCCTGTAAGTTCATCATTTACTTTTACTACTACTAGCATCTTGTTATCTTTTTCTCTCTTACTCCAGCATGTCTACCCTTCATTGACCATTTCCAAGATTAGGTTTTTCGAAAGCGATATGGCATATTTATGACATGTAATGATAACTAGCCTGACGGTCCAGAGGTGGATCCATAATTTGAACTTGAAGGTTCAATCTATAAGGTTTTTAGTACTGAACTCATTGTATTATATAGTATCTTTCTTTCTTTCTTTTTCGCCACTGCTACAGCAAGTCTTCCCTTCATTAACTGTTCCCAAGATTAGTTTTTCGAAAGCAGCAGGGCATATTTATGACATGAAATGATAACTGCCCTGACGGTCCAGAGGCGGATCCATAATTTAAACATGAAGAGTTCAATCTTTAGGGCTCTTTGGACTTAATGAAATTATGAGTTCAGAATTTATTACTTGCTGAAATTTTAGTGGGTTTTCACACACACTCACACACACATACATATGTTTCGTGTCGAAATACTGGATTCAGTTGAACGCGTAATGCATAAAGCTGAATCCACCTATGTGAGGGTTGACTTGCTCAAAGGGGCTTCTTTTTGTTGGATGTTTGAGTTTTGGACAGGATATTGACGTTGTAATGAAGGGGATGGATGTTGTCACTAAAGTTTTGTATGTATTTCAGGAACTGGAGTTTGGTTGGAGAGTAATTGTTGGTTCAGTGATTGGATTCTTTGGTGCTGCTTTTGGGAGCGTAGGAGGTGTTGGAGGAGGCGGTATCTTTGTTCCCATGCTTACTTTGATCATTGGATTCGATCCGAAAACATCAACTGCAATATCAAAATGTAAGAATCCACTATATTATGCTCCCCTTTTATTTGCATAGAAACTACTACTAGTACTTGTTAGATTGAACGCGTCATATATTAGGTCATCTTTAATTACGCCATTTTTGAGCTTTTTGCTTTTGTTGTGATCAGGTATGATCACAGGTGCAGCGGGTGCAACTGTATACTACAGTCTTAAGCTGAGGCATCCATTACTTGAACTTCCCATCATTGATTATGATTTAGCTCTTCTTTTCCAACCAATGTTGTTGTTAGGGATCAGTATTGGAGTTGTACTAAATGTAATTTTCGCTGAGTGGATGGTTACAACCTTATTAATCATTCTTTTCTTAGGTAAGCACTGCTATTTAACTTCCAGCTGCAATTTTATCAATTTTGTGAAGGGAGCCTTGGCGTAACTGGTAAAGTTGCTGCCATGTGACCAGGAGGTCACGGGTTTGAGCCGTGGAAACAGCCTTGTGCACTAGGCTGCCCTTTTTAATTTTATCAATTTTGTACAGAGTAAGTAATCTGATTTGTTATTATGGGACTTATTGCAGCTGCATCAACAAAGGCATTTTTCAAAGGTGTCGAGACATGGAAGAAAGAAACTATTATTAAAAAGGTTGTCTCTTTGGTCGTTTAATTTCCTGTAATAGTAGAGTACAAGATGAGAATAATGGATTTTAAATTCTAATTTCATGTCCAGGAAGCAGTTAGGCGCTTGACATCTAACAGTGAGTACCTATATATCTTCTACACTACAACAGAAATATTTGATGAGTTATTTCTGCGTAATATTCTGGAACTGAAAATCAGGTGCTGGTGGCGAAGAAGTTGCATACAAAATTATACCTGGAGGTCCAAACAATGGTTCTACTAATTTTACAAATGAAGTTTATAAAGCAACTGAGGTAATTAATACATCCCCTTGTCCCAGATAACTTTTTTCCCCGTCCCAATATATATGAATGCTGATTTCTTGAGTTACTTTAGGTCTCAATTTTTGACAATATGTACTGGAAGGATATCACCAGACTTATTGCTGTTTGGATCATAATCCTAGTTCTGCATATCTCCAAGGTTCTTGCTTTTACTATTGCTTGCCTTTTTTCAAGAAATTGATGATTGCATTCTGTGCTTTCATGCAACATTGGCTTACTGATTTGGAGCTATTTTTTGTACAGAATTATACAACAACTTGTTCAACGACATATTGGATCTTAAGCCTCTTGCAGGTAATATATATATTATGTGTATGCCTTGAAAATGATTATATAAATAACTTGGTATCCTGAACATTAAAAGTCTTTAGGGGGCATTAGTTGAGCAAATAGTGTTGCCCCCGTCACATTAAAATCCTAGGTCCGCCTATAAATGTCCTTTTGACATAAATGAATATGACTGTAAGTTGCATGACCTAAGCTTACATTGTAAATATGTAGCTTGCTCCTGCTTTTTGGTCGCTTCAAATGAGCCACGAGCTTCTCTTTCACTTAAACAGAGAATTTTGACTACAAAAGTTACATGTTCTACTTCCTACTTTTCAGGTCCCTGTGGCTGTTGGAGCTTCAGCATATGAAGCAGTTTGCTTGTATAAAGGATCAAGGATGATTATGTCAAGCGGCGAAGCAGTAATAACATGGAAAGTGCATCAGTTGATTCTTTACTGTTGCTGCGGCATTTTGGCTGGTATAGTTGGCGGCCTGCTAGGTCTAGGTGGAGGATTCATTTTGGGTCCATTGTTTCTAGAGCTTGGAATTCCTCCCCAGGTTCATTTCACTTCTTATCATATTGCCTCTAGTTCAGTTTTATGTCCATTAATAATGAAATTTTGTCAATGCAGGTGTCAAGTGCCACTGCTGCCTTTGTTATGATATTTTCCTCCTCCATGTCCGTCATACAATATTACTTGCTAAGACGCTTTCCAGTACCATATGGTAAGGAGGAAACTTCAACGTCTTAAAAAGTGTCTCCTTAAATGGTATTCATTATTCAAGCAAGGATTTAACTTATATACTCTGACTGGTTCGGACATGTGAAGAGGAGAGACTATTGGTGTATTTTAACCTGTTTTAGGAGGTAAAAGGTATCATATTTCGGGTTACTGATATCACTTTTTATGGGCAGTTTCCTCATTTGAACAATTACATTGAAAGCTCCTAGTAATGATTGATGATGAAGAAACCTGTGAATCAGTTTTATTGTTTACTAACCTGCATTTATTTTCTCTGGAAATGTTGCAGCACTGTATTTTATTGCTGTGGCCAGTATTGCAGCTTTAGTAGGGCAGCATGTTGTACGAAGAATAATTAGTATAGTGGGAAGAGCATCTGTGATTATCTTCATTTTGGCCTTCACAATCTTTGTGAGCGCTATATCATTAGGTAGGTTTCTTCACCTATTCACAGGAAATCCATAAGTAATACTACTTATTTATTTGCTTATTTATCTGTTAATGGGTGCAGGTGGAGTTGGCATAACAGACACAATTAAAAAGATCGAGGAAGGACAACATATGGGGTTTGATAATATTTGTGCATATAATTAATATCAATATTTGTACCAAATGTTGATTTTTTGGGGGAATTTAGATGTTTGGTCATTATTGATGTTCCCTTTAATCAGCTCTGGAAATATTTGGCCTTATGCAATCATGATGAAGGCTTCTCAAATCATTTCGCCTATGAAATATTTAGCCATAACATATTCCCAGAATTTAGAAATTATCACTCTAGAGAAATTTACAATGTATTTACAAAGTTTCAATAGGGATGTGTTTTATAACTTTTTTGCCTGGAAACTGTATTTTTTTTCATAACATTTTTTGTTGACAGCATATTCTCTTATACGAGCTCCGTCCATGCTTGGGTATTCCAGCGAGATATATTCTGTCTGCATGTTTTTACAAGAGTTTAAATTCAGATTTTGGAAGGGGTTACAGAAATATTCATTTAAATAAAGTTAATTTGCTAATTGGAGAAGTACTACTAGTCTACTCAACAGTGGACGTCTATCTCAACTCAATTCATTCATTGAGCAACTCTATGAAATATCTACTCATATAACTGGCACGACATCTATGTATGCTGTATAATTTTCTTCGTCTTCAAACAAATTATCTTGTCCCTGCAAGAAACCTTTTCCTATAGTTCATCTCTGATTTCAGGATCATGTGCTTTCAAATTCTTGTTGATGAGAGCAGCCAAATCTTTTGCACTTGATTTTGTAGGAAATTGTATCTGCATAAGGAAATTCGATACAGAAACCATTAAAAGGCGAGCAAGATTAATAGAAATCATCAAATTGTATTGTCATTAAAACTTACCGGCTTTGTCTTGTCATCTGCTGAGTAGAAAAGAAGTGTTGGATAGTCATCAACCTGCATATTGGTAAGAGCAAATTCAATATTAAAAGCTCATCAAAATGGTAAGATACTAGCCATCTCCGTTACATTTGATGGGACTTGTTTTTATTTTGCCTTTTCCTTATTATGGTGCATTTTTAAGATACTGCTTGTGGCCACTAGTTTCTTATTAGTGGTGGATATTAATTTGAGGACCATCAATCTGAAGTAAATTTTGGAGGAATGGTTTGTCATTTTGACATCCCTTTTCAGGAATTGTCTATTCCATCCTTGCTCTATACTTGGTCCACTTCTCTGAAGTGGAAAACTTAACATTTTGTCATATCTACAGATGCTAAAGGGAGTCGTCCGCAAACTCCTAACACATATATACTACTACCAGTTTTTTTCTGCTAGTGGTAACCTAGTGCATGCTCTGAATAACCTTGGTCTGAGAAGAATTTAAATGGGACTCATGCTCAGTGAGGATCATATAGCCGACCCAAAATTGGGACTGAGGCGTAGTTGTTGTTTTAGGTAGCTTAATGTGTACTCCAGACATGACTGAATATTCAAGCTGAACTTTTTCATCTTAAACATTAAAGATCTGAACACTATCAATTTAAAGCAAAGGATTATCCTCACCTGTAAGTTTGGATGTTCATTTAGGGAAGCATCTATCCTTGCAAAGATCAAGTTCGCCAAACCCTTGAAATGCTTAGCCAACTTCTCCATTTGTTTGCTTGTGGTTTCACAAGTTATGCACCACGGTGTGTATATCTTCAATAAACGAGCAAAGATAGATTATTATGGAACTATAAGATTATCCACATCACAGAACATGTTTAATGTGATTTACTCAATAAAGGAAGAAATATGGTTCCCAACATATTTCTGTCATTTTTCCTCGGCAGATAATTCATATACCAAATGCTCAAGAACCCTAACAAACACAGAAGAATGTGAGACTGAACTCTTAACAAGTGTCTGATCTGTGTAAAAAAATACAAACCTCTAGAAGAATGTTTTCGGGACTGTTCATGATCAATTCATCAAAGGTCTTACCAACAACTGTCAGAATGCTCATGTTCTTCTGCAATTACGAAGCAAAGGTTGGAGTTAATAAAACATTCTTGCATAAACATAACTATATCATGTTACCCTTAGCTAATGTCAAGCAAAAAGGAACAGATAAAACAACATAAGCTGCATTTGTAATAGAATGTATGGGATTAAACAATTTTGGGATTAGATCTAAAATAGAACTTGATCAAACAGCATAAAAATCTGGCGCAGAGATGAGGCAGTCCACAAAGTATGTTATGGCACTAAGGAGGCTCCAGAATGCCTGTTGAGCTATTATTACGAGTATGATATCATCTTTCATAGAATGGAAGTATGTGTGCTTTAGTGCGAAGGACAAATACATTCACAGACACCTCTTTTGCCATGTTATAAGAAAGTTGAGGTTTGTCAAGTAAACTTTTTTTGGTCGTTGTGACCACCATCAATGCCAGCTAAAGGAGATCATTCCATAATGATCCCAATCAACCAGCCATTGACTATCAGATTGGTTTTGATCATTTTTCATAATCAGCAAAGCATGATTTCTGTTATTATAGGAGTTCCCGCTGCCTCCTTTGCATTCTTGCAGAAAAACTATGAAATACCTATCTTAAGGCTACTTCACTACCTCATCCTAGTGACTCTGGATCTCTCCTTGCAATATATCTAACTTGCTCTTCATTCCTGTCTTTTTATTCATCAAGTGAGGATATATCTGAAACCTAAGAAAATACTAGCCATTCCAAATGACAATCTACTGCAGGTGCCCAGATTTGTCTGCTTGAAGATGACTCCAACTCACTGTCCAATTTGGGTTAGTCAAGGTTCTCTCTGCACAGCAAAGGATGGCGGGAAAGGAAAACTAAGGAAAACATTAATCCATAGGCTATCCCTTATCAGAAAAAAATAAATATTAACCCCATTCCATTTTATTTTTCAAAATACTGCCTCGAATGTTTATTGCTCCATCTAGAAGGAGATTGTTCAAGGTACCCGTCCTTTATAACTATATTCCCCAACGCATATATATATGGTTCCATGGGATAGGATTGGCTTGGCTAGCAGGGAGCAACCTAGAGAGTACACAAGTAAGATTTTGAAGTCGCTGGGTTTTAACTATTTGTCTTATGATGTTCAAATGCTAAATAAACAGCAGCGTAATTTTTCATATGTTTCCTCTTCAAGTTATTTTTATCATGTAATCAACATCAAGTATTAAGTCATTCCAATAAGTGGATACATTCTCCTTAAATCCAGAGCATCTTTCAGTCAGGTATTTTGGAAATTACCAGACCATTATGCCAGATACAAGCAATACTACTAAAATAACTTGAATTAGGCAAGCTAAAGAACTGTGGTATCATGTTTTCCTATTGCTGAAACATAAACTGAAATCATGAGATTTATTGTTAAAAGAACTTACATTATCAGGAATTGGTTGTGATTTGTAGTATGGTGACACACTCCCACTCAGAAGACCTGAACAGAAATCCTGCAGAAACCAATCAACAATGTGAATTTCAAATCACAATTCAAAGAAGCCTAGAAAGAGATAACAAACAGAGCGATATTAATACTTCTATGCTTGTTGGTGTGGCATCTGACTCTAACAAATACTTCAAGTTGCTGCGGTAGTTGAAAGATATTACCTGTGCATCCATGCAACGGAAAAGATTGTCTGAGCAGACTTAATAAATAGCTTGTATCGAGAAGAGAAAAATAATTCATGAGAGAACTGACAACAGAGTCTTTTGATTCTTCAAGACCAAACATAGTAAGGAAGGGTTTTGCAAGATTGTCCTCTCTAATATCTACAAATATGAACATTATCTGCAATCAAAAGCCAGCTGTCAATTACACAGATCGCAGAAAGGAAGAGTAATCTGTTTCACTAGATCCAGATAAGAAAGAAACCTGTGATTTGAACTTTCTTGCAACGTCTTGCAAAGGTTCTACATTTTTCTTGAAGTCATCAGGCTCAGCAATGATCAATACCTATATGGCATTGAAGCATAGGTAGATCCAACAGTTATCACAAGCATATTAGTGCATGATTACAGTCTGCTTAAAAAATGCAAGAACTAGATATACATTATACGTGTTGGCTAGAGAGATGAGAATTTCCTCACAAAAATGTTTAATACACACAAAATCTCTATCTGACAGCAAAAGCTAAGTCCAGGGTTGATTTTAAACAACTATAGAGGCTCACAGTTGCTTCTCCAAAACCCGCAGTTTAAACGAACTTCTTCGGTAGTTTCCTCCTATTACTATAGATGTTTAACATATATTGGTGAAATTAAAATGTCCACACAAAAAGAGAAGAAGAAATTACTGGTGTTACGGCTGACCTTCTGCTTCTCATGGATAAAATTGCTAACTCTTTACCAGCCTAAATATGAATTACACGAACTCAACACTTGGATATAGGAAGTGCACCACAAATATCAATGGACTAACATTATTTCAACAGTATAGGAGAACAGACTGAGATCAAGCCTATTGTTTTCTTCACCTTTCTTTCATAAAGAAACACAAGTCTTCATCTTATGAGATACTTATGAAGTGCTCGAGCATATGAATTATAATTACATGGAGATGTCAAATACTTTTGGGAAACAGAAGATGATATAAAGTACAAAGAGTCAGACACAACAGTTACCTGAAGTTTGTTTGAGCTGGAGTAAACTCTTGCAGCATTAAGTTCAGTAAGTACTGTAATTAAGGGGAACTTGTTATCATCCAAAAACTGCAAGATTCCTTCTGTACTGAAGGTTCCTTCTGCAAAGCATATCAAAGATGCAAATAGTGAGGTTATATTAAGCAACACAATTCTACTGAAAGAGAAGAAATCAAGTTTAGATTCAAACATAACAGCAATTTTCCTAGTAATCAAGGAATGATATTTCCATCTATCTTTACAAGCTTTTAGCTATCCAATGAATAAGTAGTTGTAGATTTAATTGCTCCGCTTCAGGCATAGTCAGGAACAACCATCCATTGTGAGAGAATGGTAATGCTTGAGCAAGAAAGGGCTGTAAAAAGCAACTCTAGAATCTAAAAATAGAAAACATACCATATTCAGAGTATTTCTCTGGCTCACTTTTAACAAGACCAAGGAAAAGATTGGTTGGCTTAAAATTGGGGAAGAGGTGCTTGGCAATCTCTGCATTGCTAGTTTCCACAAACTGAATTTCATTGTCCATTTTGGCTGCTTTTGTAAATTCATTATAATCAGGTCCCTGTGTGATTATACATGAGGCAATTTGCATGTCAGAAGCAAATTCCACAATTTTTTTGTTCAGTAACCTGTTTATATTTTGCTGAGATGAGGGAAATTCGACTAAAACAAGAAGCAATGTAAACACGGCAACTGCCATTACTATATATACGAAATGATTTTAACCAAACCCAGAGTGGTTAAATGATTGAAATGGAGGAGCGTTACAGTACTGTGCTCATGTGCTACCGATAGGAAGATACCAAATAAAGTTAAAGGTATAATTGATTGATTGATAATTCCCGATGCCAAGATGTTGAAAAGGGCTTCTTTCAATCAAACCTAATGCTCAGCTTAAGATTTGAAGCCACCTAGAAAACGTAGTACATTTTAACTTAGTAGATATGATAAATTCTTGCTTTCAATTTTGAATGGATAATTAAATTACACAAGTTTCCTGACAATAATTTTAAATGTCTCAACTAGATGCCAAAAGAGAAGAAAGAACAAGTAAGAGATTTCAGGAACTAAAATGTTACCTCAGATTTATCAAAAAGACCAACCACAAACATGGAATACTTATTGAGAAACTGGCTCGCCTCAGCATCCGAGCTAATTCTAATAACAGGTACCCCTGTCTTCTTCCTTGCCCAGATAACAAGTTCTTCCCTGATTGACATGCGATGCCACAGATATAAATCAACAAATCGGATGCACATACAAAAGTACAACATAAAGCAGCTACATAAGTCTGTCCTCCTAATTTTATTAACTTACTCCAACTAAATGATCAAAGAGTTTAACTTTGTGAACTGACAGTCAAAACATACTTACACAATCTAAGTCATTTATTAGATAATTATATGTAAATCTCTCGATTAGCCTTAATTGATAATCTAGTAAAAATAGTATAACTAACAGGTTAAAATTTAGAAGAATTAACCTAAATAGTGGCTCACCCAATAGCTTAAACTAAAAATAGCCATTTAGAAGAATTAACCTAAATATGTGTATAACCGCATATAATCAACAGTATATAACGAATCCAATCGGTTATTTGTGTAATGATCCCTAAAATTTACACTGTGAGTGTATATAACTTAAATAAAATGCTTACGCGGAGAATCCACCAGTATAAGGTTGAGAAGTGCCGTTAACAAACAGAAGCAGAGTAGGGAATCCTTTGATATCAAGAGTTGAAGCAATCTTAGGGTAACGTTCAGCATCAATCTTAGCCATTAAAAGAGGACTTCCCAATTCTTTTAAAGCAGTAGCAGCCTCAGCAAATTTCGGCATTAGCTCAGCACTCCTAACGCACCACGGGGCGTAACCCAAAACCAGTACATACTCATTCCCATCAATTGCCCTTTTAGTATTGTCATTGTTAAGTTCGAGTACTATTCTTTGGGCTTTACTTACAAACTCAGATTCAGCGTTTTGCTGCTGTGAATCTTCTTGTTCGTCCAATGCTATGAGTTCTTCTAAAGCTTCCACGTCATCACCATCTTCATCAGATAAATCCAGTTCGGACGATATTGACGGAGACAAGAAGCTGAGCAAGAGAAGGAGGACTAAGGAGAAAAGGATAAATCTTGAAGTGGGTTTTGGATTATACATGATAAAGTATTTGAGTGTAAAGATCAGCCCGTTCTTAGTTGGGATTTCTAGTTTTCTACTGAAACTTCGATTAGGATTTAAGTGATGAAAATGTGGGGGAAAATGTTGAAGATCTAAAAGTGATGAAGTGAGAGAGAGAGAGAGAATGAAAAAGGAGGGTGAGGACACGGGAGAAGTGGGGGGCGTATCGCTGAAACAGTTTGACCAGAGTTTATATAAGTAAAGTAGTTAAATTGAACGTCAATCGCGCCACCGTTTAGCGCTATCCCTCTACTAACATTTTATTTTTTGTTTTCCAACTACTAACATGGATAAGCAAAAAAAAATTTTGAGATACCAATTTATTAGTACTAATTCTTCAATAAATTATCATATTGTATGGTGTAAAATATGTCGTATTAAATGATTGCATAAGGAAGTGACACGTGAAGTCGAAGATTGAGGATAGCTGAAATCGAAGGCAACGATCTCGTCTGTTACCGGAGAGAATGATACTCGTAAAGATGAAATAAATGTCTGTCATCTGGTAGCATTTAATGAAAAATATTCTATAGCATTTAGTACATTACTCATTACGAAAGAATATGGCATTCATGCCCGCCGTTACACATTCTTCAATGACCCTCATAATTGATTAACGAGTGGATTGATCTTAGGCCATCGTTCCCTAGATGCAGTTATAAAATAGTGAGGTATGTTATCATTGTAAAGGACATGAATTTTCTGGAAAATATATGCTATATTCTATTCAAAGCTTAATACAATTTTATCTTTTTGTTCTTTGATATCAGCGATGTTGTACCGGAAGCCTTGCTCCCGGCATCACTATTTCTGCTATTCCGTCTCCATCTCAAGGCTAAGTGTTACATTTTTATCTAATTCGTCTATTATTTTAGGATCAAATTAATTCGTTTGTCTATAAACCACGTATAAATTCAAATGTACCGTTTTACGGGTAAACACATTTGATTAAAAATAATACTAGTTTATACTTGTCAGATGATAAAAATGTAAGTTATCCTAAGATAAAGCAGTAAAATTAACAATTAATATAACACACCAAACAATCAATAAAAAATTATACTAGAATAACTAACTCCAAGATAATTAACCTCAATATTATTAATCTAAGCATAATTAATTCTACCTAACTTGTTTTCAAACCAAACCATCCCTTGGTGCTTAACATCTGCAATTGAGATCTAGGCCAATTTAGATGAAATATGTTTCCTATCAGAGAATTCTAACACGAAACCTATAATTAAGGTTGGAGATATCCTACTACAATGGTAACGATTTCAATTTCAGTAGGCAGCTTAAAGGTTGAAGAAGTATAGAGTTTAGAAATTTTACAGCTTACATTAGAGCAAATTATGTTATATACCTATTCTATCCAAAATAATTACCCGTCTTTACTTATTCTAGAAATAATTACAATATATACCTATGCAACCAAAAGTAATTCCCCGTTAACCCTTCTTCCTGTTTTATTCTTGTTAAAGCTAATTTTTCTCCTCCTTTTTGCTTTCTTCTCTTATCATTTTCTCTGCTCTTTCTCTTTCTTTCCTTTTGCCAATATCCTTACAATTTTTCATTAAATATATTATTTATCTACCTCTCTCTCCTATCTTTATCATTTGTCCTAGCAAAAAAAAAGGCTAAAAAGAAAGATCTATCAAAAAAGGATAAAAAATTTTAAGATTTCAGTTTGCTACAAATTTGTGAGGTTATGTATGTAATAACAAATTTTAATTGCCGACACTCTTTGTGGCATGTTTTGGTGTTAATGATGATTTTTTGAAGATTTAATTGTGACAAACATTAATCTGCCATTGGAGGACCTTGAAGCTTGAAACTCATAAATTGGGTTTTTGAGTTTGTAATTATTTTGATCTGATTCTAATTGGGTATGTTCGAAATATTAGTTGGAGGAAGTGGCTATATTCTGAGTCAATTTGGTGGAGATTTTAGACTAGATTTTTAAACTTTGGGTTGAAATTGAGTTGAACTAGCAAAGAAGACAGATTTGTACTGTATACCAAAATGGTATATTGCTTGTTTGAAATTTAAAATTTTTATTTTTGAAGATTTCTTGTTTGATTCAAAGTGGGTGCTGTTAAATATTGCTTCTAATACATTCTGGAAGTTCATACTGAAATTTGATAGCATTTGGAGCTGATTTGAGGTGATTGAGATCGTAATTTTCAGTTGAAAATCGAAGAAGAACACAACTACCCAATAGTATACTACTACGGTATACAATATGTTGTAGGAGTATATAGCTATACTGCAACAGTATACTATTATAGTATACAATATATTGTTATAGTATACTGTAATAATATGCAAGATACTGTAACAACATACTGTAATAGTATACAATATACTATAATAGTATACTTATTACCCGTAAATTCACTTGCTTTTTCCCTTTTAATTTGTTTTAAGCTTTTACCCAGCGTGAGGAGCAAATTGAAAATGCCAAAAAAAAAAAAATAGTATGCTATATGATGTAACGGTATACTCTTACAATTAGATCCTTTTAGAATTTTTAAAATTTTTTATTGACAACTGATATTATTTCAGTTTAATAATTGAATTAATTTTTTTTTAAACTTCATTGCGTACAATTGTATACCCTGTTGGTATAGCTATATATATACTATACTAGTATCATATGTTAGTTAATATTTTTTTGGTTTGTATTAGCTACATTTAATTGGTACACAATTTAATTTTTTACATTTAGTAATAAATATAAAAAAAAACTAAAAATAAAAAAAATAAGTAGAAAACAGNGGTATAGCTATATATAGTATACTGGTATCATATGTTAGTTAATATTTTTTGGTTCTATTAGCTACATTTAATTGGTACACAATTTGATTTTTCTATATTAATAGAATAAAAAAGATAAAAAAAAGTGAAAACATTAAATGAAATTAGATTATGAGAGAAAAAGAATATAAAAAAAAGTTAAATGAAATTAGAAAAGAAAAAAAGAAAAAAAAAAGAAAAGGAGAAAAGAAAAAAAGAAAAGAAAAGAAGCATAGAAATAAAAAAGAATTGGAGAATAAAGAAAAAATTTCCCACAAAAACTATTATGGGTAGGAAATGTAATTAGTTTATGGGTAGAAAAACAAATAGGTAGACAAGGGTAAATTTCGTTTTTGTGGGTAACTGTGTCAAAACCCCCTTACATTATGGTACCGGCATTACAAATTAGAAGATAATACATAAAAAGGTTTCTTTTTGTAGTTGCAAAAATAAAATAAAAAAATTACCGATAAAAATACTAGTTTGACTCTCAATTCCGTAATTAGGACATCTTCCTTTACTTACGTAAGCGGCTCGACAAATTAGGACTTGTAATAAATAGATGAGGATGAAACCATTCTAATTTAATGGAGAAGAGCTAAGATTTAATTTGAAGAACTAGGAAAAAGTTAAACCCCATGAAGAATTAATTCTCTCTTGATAAAGTTAAACTTCTTTTTATTTCCTACTTAAGAATGCTTGAAACAGAAAGTCTTTAATCCCATCAGTCCCTTCTGTTAAGTAGTGTGGGTTCCAGCTATTTATACAAAGTGTAATTAGTTAGAATATATTAGAGTTAGTTATATTTGTTAGAAGTTAGTTAATTGTGTATAAATAGGATGAGACTAAACAGTTGTATTTTTTCACGCTTCATTTCATTTTCTTTCTGTAAGAATAATACAGAGCTTCATTTCAGACTTCTTCTTCTTTTTCTTGTCTCATCTTCTAGAACCTTCAGTTCCTCCATAGCTAGAGCTTCTCAACATGGTATCAGAGCCCGGTGCTCGTCTGACTAAAGCTCTATTGTGATAGAACTGGAGTAATTCAATTCATTTCTAGCTTCTCAATCTTATCGATCGATCGAGCTATTTCTTCAACACAGAAGACTTCTCACTCGTTCTAGGGTTTGGGAATTCTCAATTATCTGGTTGAATCACAGTCAGATCGAGCTCAATTTTGCGAGAAATTAACAGTCTGAAAGCTTTGTGTCTCTAATACAATAGCGATTAATGAAGAAACTGGTGCTTCTACGCCAACTACAGAGCTTGTTGATCACAATCATCCTATTTACATTCATCCTTCTGATACTCAAGGTTTTGTACTTACTTCTGTTCAGCTTCAAGGTTCAGAAAATTATTCAATTTGGAGTAGATCTATGAAAATTATTTTGCATGGTAAAAATAAACTAGGTTTTGTTCTAGGCACTTGTAGAAAGTCTAGATATGATGCTAGTTTGCATGAATTGTGGGACAGATGCAATGCTATTGTGCTTGCTTGGATAATGAACACAGTTTCACCTAGTTTGATCAGTTCTGTGATCTATGCCTCTGATGCACACACTGTTTAGGAGGATCTCAAGGAGAGATTTGATAAGGATAATGCATCTAGGGCTTGATTTACACAAGAAAATTGCCACACTGACTCAAGGCATATCTTCTGTCTCATTATACTATACTAAACTGAGAGAACTTTGGGATGAGTATGTAACACTAACATCACCACCTTTATGTGGTTGTGCTGAATTTAGGAGACATGTAGAACATTACCAGATACAGAAGCTATATCAGTTCCTCGCTGGTTTAAATGAATCATTTGAGAATGCCAAGAATCAAGTGCTTATGACTCGACCCCTACCAAATCTGAATCAGGCTTATGCCATGATAGTAAATGTAGAGAGCTAGAGGATTAGTGGAAAAAGTGCATACGCTGAAAGCAATGAAGTTGCAATGATGAGTAACAAGATGTATACTGGAAGTTACAATGGTAGAGGACAATCTAATGTCAGTTCAAATAACTCAAATGGAAGTCTTAAGCGTAGAAACACAACTGGTAAATCTGCAGCCCGGTGTGATTATTGCAAATACAAAGGCCACACCAGGGAAAATTGCTTCAAGCTTCATGATTATCCATCTGATTTCAAGAACAAGAGAAGAGGTGGAGCTCCACATGCTCAAGCCAATAATGTTGTTAATTCTAGTTGTTCAGAGCCACAAGTACAGGGAGAGCAGGTGACAACTACTCCAGCTCCAGCTCATTTCTTCACTCAGGAACAGTACCAGCAAATCCTGCACCTGTTGAACAAGGACAAGGAGGTTGAATCTGCACCCAATGTTGTTGCTGCAGGGCCAACAGGTACTGCACATGCTTTTATGACTAATCTAGTTCATAATAACTGGATAATAGACACAGGTGCCACAAACCATATGGTTCACAGCTTGAATTTGCTAGAGACTTATGATGAAATACCTGAGAATGCTAGGAGTAAGGTTCATTTACCAACTGAAGAACATGTGTCTATCACTCATGTAGGTATCTATTCTTTCTTCAAGAATAAGAAGGTTCAGAATATCCTTCACATTCCAGAGTTTAAGTACAACCTCCTCTCAGTATCAAAACTCACAAAGGAACTGAGGTGTCTTGCAGCATTTTACCCTGACTTTTATGTCTTTCAGGAACTCTCAAGTGGGAAGGTCTTGGGGATTGGTAAGGAAGAGTTTGGTTTGTATATCCTCAAGGCAGCAAGTGCTCAATCAACAAGCTTCCTCTTCACTAGTATCTCTTTCTACTTACTGTAAATATCATATCAGATGACATCAATAAAGGTAATAACCTAGTAGAGAATAAGTCATGTCCTGTATTCTCCTTATGGCATTAGAGGTTAGGTCATGATCCCTTGAAGGTTTTGAGGTCTGTGAAATCTTTGCATGACATGCATTTTAAACAACATCACTGGACTGTGTGTCCTGTTGCCAAGCAATCAAGACTACCATTTCTTGTTAGCTCCTCTTACTTTAAATCTGCTTTTGATATGGTTCATGGTGATGTTTGGGGGCCTTATAGAGTACCTAATCATGATGGAAAAGGGTATTTTTTTAACCCTAGTAGATGACTACTCAAGATATACTTGGCTTTTCTTACTGCATTCCAAATCTGATACTGTTGAAGTATTGAAAAACTTTGTAGCACTAATATATACACAGTTTGATAGCAAGCTTAAATGCTTAAGAACAGACAATGGTGCAGAATTCCTCGATGATCAATTACAAACCTTATTGAAGAATTAGGGGATTGTGTATCAAACCTCTTGTATATATACTTCTCAACAGAATGGAACTGTTGAAAGAAAACACAGGTCAATCTTGGATATGGCCAGAGCTCTCAGATTCCAAGCTCACTTGCCTCCCAGGTTCTGGGGAGAGTGTGTCTCTACTGTAGTTTACCTCCTAAATAGATTGCCTAGTACTGTGCTACAAGGGAAATCTCCCTTTGACAAACTCTTCCAAAGGAGCCCTTCCTTACAACATCTGAGGGTCTTTGGAAGTTTGTGTTATGCTACTCAGGTGAGAAAAGGTGATATATTCTGTCCCAGAGCAATTCCTGTTGTGCACATGAGCTACTCTTCTTCACAAAAGGGTTACATCCTCTATGATCCGTGCTCCAAAAGGTTTTTTGTTAGTAGGGAAATTGTCTTCAAGGAAGAAGTGTTCCCATTCAAGCGCATGTCCTCAGGTGCATCACCTCTGTTTCCTGTGCTGGAGCTTGTGGAACAACCTACTCAGTCATCAGTTGTTCCTAATGCTACTCCCTCACCAGCAGGATCTCATATTCTCAACAATGCTGATGCTGATGCTCCCAGTTCTACATCTCTCTCTCCTTTGCCCTCACCAGTGCCTTCTCCTACCTCAGCTTGTGAATCCTCTGATCCTTCTGTACCACTCAGGAAGTCTTCAAGATTAACTAAACCACCTGTGTGGCTAGCTGACTATGTAGTTCCATCAAAGAATTCAGTCTGCTCCTATCCTATGATCAATAATGTGGCATATGATAAACTGTCACCTAGTTACAGATCTTCTTTGACTGGTTTCTCAGCCATTGTGGAGCCTAAGTCCTTTGCTGAAGCTAGTCAAGACCCAAGTGGATTGAGGCTATGAAGGCTGAGATTACTGCTCTTGAAGAAAACAACACTTGGTCAAGTACAAAGCCTCTGGTGAAGTGGAAAGGTACAAAGCAAGACTAGCCAAAGGCTACAGTCAACAGGAAGGTTTTGATTATACAGAAACCTTTTATCCAGTGGCTAAAATGGTCATTGTCAGAGCTATAGTTGCCTTAGCTGCTGCTTCTGTTTGGTATGTGTTTCAAATGGATATCCATAATGCTTTTCTTCAAGGAGATCCCCTAGAGGAAGTTTACATGCATGTCCCTAATGGCATCTCAAGCCAGGGGGAGTGTCATCAGGTATGCAAACTTCATTAGTATTTATATGGTTTGAAACAGGCTCCTAGACAATGGATTCCAAAATTAACTGAAGCTTTGGTTGATATGAGCTTTGTTCAATCTCACTATGATTACTCACTATTAACACAGAAAATAGCCTCAGAACTGGTTGTCATTCTAGTTTATGTAGATGATCTCCTGGTAACTGGAAGTGATCTGGCACTAATCAAACAGGTCAGGAAAAAGTTGCAAGAGAGGTTTAAGATGAAAGACCTTGGTGAACTCAAATACTTTCTTGGCATTGAGTTCTCTAGATCTCGGGAAGGCATAGTAATGTGTCAAAGGAAGTATGCCTTGAGCTTGTGTCAGAGCTTGGCCTAGCAGGAGGAAAGCCAGCAGTCACACTTCTTGAATTCAACCATAAGCTTACATCCATTGAGTTTGACAAAGAAATACCAAATGACAATACTACTGAGGATAAGGAACTTAAAGAAAAAGGCAGTTATCAGAGGCTAGTTGGCAGGCTGTTGTACTTTACTATGACAAGGCCTGACATTCTTTTTGTGGTTCAAGCACTCAGCAAATACATGCATGCGCCTAAGCTGTCTCATATGGAAGCTGCTTTAAGAGTAGTGAGATATATAAAGACTGCACCTGGGCTTGGACTGTTCATGCCTGCAAAAGCATGCAAGCAGCATATTGTGACTCTAATTGGGGTGCTTGTGTTGAGACTAGGAGATCAGTGACTGGGTATGCAGTGAAGTTTGGTGAAGCACTGATTTCTTGGAAGTCCAAGAAACAAGGAATTGTGTCTAAAAGCTCAGCTAAAGCTGAATTCAGAAGCATGGCTTCTACTGTAGCAGAGGTGGTATGGCTAACAGGACTCTTCAAAGAATTGGGAACAGACATAGAGCAGCCTATACAACTTCATTGTGATAGTAAAGCTGCTATACAAATTGCTGCTCATGCCATCTTTCATGAAAGAACCAAAGACATTGATATTGATTGTCATTTTGTGAGAGAGAAGATTGTACAAGGCTTACTTCAGACACAACAAATCAGAACAACAGAACAACTAGCTGACCTGTTAACTTAGGGACTGTGCAAGCCACAACATGAGTATCTTTTAGGCAAGTTGGGCATGAAAGATATATTTCATCCCTCAGCTTGAGGGGGAGTGTTAAGTAGTGTGGGTTCCAGCTATTTATACAAAGTGTAATTAGTTAGAATGTATTAGAGTTAGTTGCATTGGTTAGAAGTTAGTTAATTGTATATAAATAGGACGAGACTAAACAGTTGTATTTTTTCACGCTTCATTTCATTTTCTTTCTGTAAGAATAATATAGAGCTTCATTTCAGACTTCTTCTTCTTCCTGTCTCATCTTCTAGAACCTTCAGTTCCTCCATAGCTAGAGCTTCTCAACACCTTCGTTTTTCTTTTTCAACTTTCCCTTGTGTGTATAATAACTCAAATTAGTTGAATAATAGTACTTTGCTAAATTGGATAACATATAATTGTAAGTTATGTTGTTTCGGCTTCCAATTTAGGTTAGTACTAATTTGTTAAATTGAATTACAGTAAAGAATTTTGGACCTCTGATCCAGCTGGATTGAGCTTCGACTGTGGTCGCTACTCAAATTACACTGTGACCTAATCCAGTCTAAACAAAGTCACAAAAAAGTTGAACACCGCTTAACAAATAAAGCAAACATTAATTTCGGATAGAATCTGGCCATGGATTGGCGAATCCAGGTTTTGATACTTGTGCGTTCCTGCAACGATCTCGAATAAATTCAAGATTTAGTAAATCTTTCGAACATATTTACACAGTTTGAACAAAATTTACTAGGTTCACGTGAACCCGTAGGTCAGGAGGTAAATCTGCCCCTGCTCCTCATATTCGAACTCAGTGTACAAGTAGAACTGTGAATACTGTTTGCGCAAAGTTTTATGTACTAGATTTATTATTCCACTGCTACCTCCTCGAATAATGTAAAAGTAGAAAGAGGACTAATGCAGTTTTCAGTTTTGAGCTCTAGAATTGTAAGCAGAACCGGAGCCAGGATTTGAAGTTTATGGGTTCTAAACTGGCCACCAAACTCATACTTCGTCTTAGTTACCGGATTCACAATTAGATATTTATACTTTGTTGATGAATTTCCTAAAACAAATATAGGATCTAAGCAAAAGCTACTGGCCGAACCCAGACCCAACACTCTACCTCGACCTCTGATTGCCAGATCACTTGTAATATATAATCTATGCTTCTCATTGTAGTATACAACGACATACTCAATATATTTTCACATGTGTGGTTTGGGGAGGATAGTGTATACGCATCTCATAATAGTATGATACCTGGAATAAACCTGATGTATGCTTCTCATTCAAAAATCCAATCAAACTTATGTACACCATTCAGCTTACAGGCAACAACTTTTACAGTAACATCTAAGGATTCAAGAGGAAAAGCTCTCTTATTCGTACGAAATTACTCTCAAAGTTTAACTAATATTTCGCAAGAGATAATTTTACAGAAGGTTGCTGCACACAAACTGGAAACAAAGTAGGCATTCAGTAATTGTGAATTCAGCTGTAAACACAAGAATTCTTCTTGAACTTGATGGGTTTAGTGCTAGTAGAGTCAATGACCAAATCACACGATATCTGCTTTTTGTTCTTCGTCCTCACTAATTTCCCCACCACATCTCCACGCGACCTGATTTCAAAATCCAATTTTAATGGAACTTTAAAACCGCCATTATTTGATGCATCAAGACCTGATCCAGCTCCATACAAGGGAAACTTTGTTGATTCTATGTTCACTAACACAGTCCGCCTACTCTTCCTGGGTTGATAATATTTTTTTAACTGCAAACCAAAAAAGAATATGAAGATTACGAAGGTATAAATGCATTGGCTAAATTTCTCCACAAACTTCAAATATTTATAAAATAAGGTGTGTTTCAAAACGAGGAACCTAAGATCAACTTAAGTGGTGACCTAGCAGTCGATGAAATTGATGAAAACCATGGGACATAAAAGTTTGAATTCCATAATAAACAAAATACACTATGTGATTTCTCGGAATGGTGGGCAGACTACTTAATGTCTGTGCTGGTAGGAGGTAACAACTATCCAGTAGAATAGTTCGGGTGCGCGCAAGCTGGTCTAAACATTACCGTCATAAAAAAAAGGTCAACTTTAGTATTGTTGTTTCTTCATTTTTCAACTCCTAATACAGGAAACTGAGAATGACATTGGTGACATCTCTAGTCCACAACTTGGTACAGGTACATACAAATCATTTAGCAAATCGAAGGTAGAACACCAAGAAGGAGAGAGATTGTTACCAAGAAAAGGAAGCGAAGAAATATGCCGAGAAATTACCTGACCAGAGGCAACAGTGATATCTGAGTAGATGAGATTGATGGGGGTGGAGCTAACATGAATGCCATAGAATGTAGCAGGATTGTACACGCTTATTCTCAACGAGCCGTTCACTGTCATCATCTTAGTTACAACTCCAGAGAAATCCGAACCTTCACCGATGTAGAAGTTATTCACAGCTAAACTCTGAAAAAAGAAAAACATACAAATAAAATTAGTCAACTTTCTTGAACTGAACTCAGAATAGTTGATTTTTCCATTGAAACATACTAATTGGGGACTTGCTGTTGAATATAACCATGTCATTCTTTTTGGCACAGACTAAAAAAGAAATAGATTCGCATAAATTGAAATGGAGGAAGTACTTGATACAGGGTGGAATAATACTATTAAATTGATAATTCCAGGATTAATATACAAAATAATCAATAAGAAATAATACTAAAATAACTAATCACAATATAACTAATCCTAACATAATCATTCAAAAATAGCCCAGTTTCAAAAGTAATCGAAATTTAGTCACTTTTCATGTAAAGATAAATCTGAGCGAAAGCACTGTTCAAAATCCGGAAAATACGCCCGCATATTATACGGGAGTTCCAGCATAAGTATGCTTGAACTCCCGCATATTATACGGGAGTTCCATGATAACTATGCTGGAACTCCCGTATATATTATACGAGAGTTCCAGCAAGTATAAATGTCCAGTATAATATATTGGAGTTTGGAACACCGGTGCTCCAGTATCCCGTATATTATACGGGAGTCAGCAAAGTATACCGGTCCAGCATAATATGCTGGAGTTCGTACACAAATGCACCGAACTCCCGTATATTATACGGGACCGGTTTCTGTTGCAGCAAAATAGTGGCTATTTTTCATTGACTTAGTAAACGCTAGCTATTTTTGATTGACCAGTGCGAAAACTGACTATACCGTGCTATTTTGACCATAAATTGTGCTCATCAAGAGTAAAGAAACATACCCTGACAGTAATTTCTGCCTTGTACGGACGTCCAGCGCCCCAAATGATAAGGCAAAAGATAGAAAACAGAACAATGAATCCCAATAGAGCTAACAACGCTTGACACCGCCGAGTTACTCCCTTTTCCTCATCATATTCGTCATACTTACCTTCTTCCATAATCACATTACATTCCGGCCACCCTTTATCATTCCTTTTCCGGCCATTTTTCCGACCGGACGACGACCTAAATATGCCGGAAAATCGACTAGCAGAAGAATTACGAGAGTGGCGTCCAAATGAAGGGTGCGAAGGAGATTCCATTGGACTATTGAAACTGGGTGTCGGTTGCATAGATGTTGATTTGTCCCCATCGTGTGAATCTCTGGACGGACTCTGTACGTAGTAAACTGGCCTTTTTGGTGACCTTGACGGTGAAGATGGAGCTAAACTTGTTATATCTGACTCTGATTTTGTGTGCAACATTTTTCGAACAAATTAAACCTAGTATAATTGTAGTAGTAGAATTCTGAACAAGACTATACTCAATTAATTTTGAATAAGCTCGTGAAAATTGGAATTCTTTTCATATGCAAAAAAACCACATGAATTGTGTGATTTATAGTGTTTTTTGTATGATTTGCATGGGATTTTTTTAAAGCGGCAGAGCAAGCAAATGCTTTTTAAAGAAACAGAGAAGAAGCAGAGTAAGTAGAGTAAAGGAAGACTGAGAGACAAGTAGACGGAGGTTTGGAAGGTGCCCCGAAACTGAACCTGATTCCGAGCCTAAGCAATATGGTTGGTTCGGAAATAAGTGTCGGCAGCCTCTTGTCACTGTCGCACCCGATGGAACTAATTTTGGTAATAAACAACAAATTAGGGAAGCTCATTTTTTTTGGTTGGAAAAACTAAGAGAAATTTTACTTTGAGTCTCACACGCCAAGTCATACTTGTGTGAGACTCTTCAAAGATGGACATTTGTACCAGTGGGTCCTATTTATACCACCATTTTTCTCTCTCTTTAATTTCACCTTCCTCATCCCAAAATAGCCCCTTCTAATTTTCCTTTTTTTTCTGTACCAGTAAATTTTCCTTCACTCCCCACATCAGAACTACTAGACATCACTCTCAATTTTCCTTCCTTAGCCAAACTCGTTTCCTCTCGCTTTTGATTCTTCCCTCACTCTATTTCAGAAAGAGATAAAAGCAGTTGATGAAATTACAGAGATTATTTTGCTGTAAATTTGATATTCTTAAGATTCTTCGTCATTATTTACAAAAGAATGAAAAGCAAGAAACATTTTCACCCTATTTTCGAACCCCTTCACAAACTTTAAACCCATTACCCATAAATTATATTTTTTCCATTGTCAATCCATATTTTATTCCCCAAGAGTTATCGTTTTCTGACACATTAATGACAATGAAAAATATATAGATCCATAATCTTCTCTGAAAATAATAAAGTGAACAATCTATGTTTAAATAAAACTCAAAAAGTGTTGAGCAAATAGAAAAACAATCTCCTGACGAGTTTTGGGCTAATGAAAGAGAGGGTGATGTCTTGGAGTTCTGAGGTGGGGGAGTGAAGGAGAATTTTCTGGTAGAGTAGAAAGGAAAATTAAAAGAAAAATTAGAAGGGGTTGTTTGGGATGAGGGAGACGAATTAAAAGGGAGACGAAAATGGTGGAAGAAGTGGGACCCATTAGTCCAAATGTCCAGCTTTGGAGGGAAAATTTTATTTTGTGTCATACAACTGACATTAATTGTATGAGGCATCCTGTTTGTCTCACAGTTTTGTGGACCCACATTTTTTTGGACTCAGAAGTGTAAGATTGGGGTCCACAAATTTGTGAGACAAAAATGAGCCTCACACAACTAGTGTAAATTGTGTGAGACACACCATAAAACTTTCTCGCTTTGAAGAGTCTCACACAAATATGACATCAGACACAAATATGACATGACATGACACGTAAAAATACTCGGTCATCGTTTTACCATGTCTGATGTCGGATATATCGTTCACCCTTCCTAGGTCTCGATACGATGGGTCTCTGGCCCCGACGACAGTCTCGCGGATCTAGGTTTCCCCTTCGTTCTTTCATCAGGGAATCAGGGTAGACATTGCCCCCGATTTTACCCATACACAGATAGTCCCCTCGTTTTTCGGAAGGTAGATTTATCGAAGCGACGGGAAGCAAAAAGTGAATCCGGGTTCCTTCCTCCGTATGTTACGAACCGAGTTGTTGGGTCAACGAAACGCGTCGTTCTGACTTCGAACATCATGTCAGTCGTCGGTTGAATGTCCTTGAATGCGAAACTTCGCACATTGACTGCTCTCCCCCTATAAAAACTCCGACCCTTTTTCACTTCTCCATTTTTCGACTCCAGAACTCTTCGACTTGCCCTCAAATTCCCTACTTACGTTGAACTTCTTCAATTCCTCGTATATTGCCATTTAGACCTTCATATCTTCATCCTCAATCTTCATACTTTCATATATTTTCTTCAAACCATCATATTTCCCAGATCCCTATAGCAAAAACATCTAAATCTGTGCCTTAGCAAATCGCCACTTCATCTTCCAACACTTACACAGATGCCGAGGCGACCATTCTTGAGGTGGATCAGGAGCCTCTTTTGAAGAGCTTCCTACCCGGGGGGCTGCTCCATCGGCAACGACTTCAACGTCGAGAAGGCCTCAATTCAACATGACCGAGGCGAGGGAGCATGGAGGTACATATGCTCCGTTCTTAAGAAAACACTACCCACAGTCTGGGTAGACCGTATTGAGAGGGCAAGGAGGTGGTCGTTCCCGGGCCCAACAAAGACATGACCACCCACGTAGATGGGTACTTAAGTGTTTACACTTACCCCTTCAGGCTCGCCTTTATGGACCCAATAATCCTCGACTTCTATAAAAGGTTCGAGGTCTACCTTGGGTAGATTCACCCGTCCATTTGGAAGGTCGTAATTTTCCTCCAACACTTTGTAAACAATACTAAAACACCTCGGTTCTCCCTCGACCATCTGCCTCGTCTATAAGTCCCTGAATCTTCCAAAGGGGGTTGATCAAGCTCATTTGCTGTTGGGGGCGTGGCTTTGATTCTGTAGTTGTGCTATTGCTGCTTGTTGAGCATGCAGCATTTCGAAAATCAGCCGTAGGCTCACCCCATCACCATCGCCTTCGGACGCTTTCCGAGTTGTTGGTCGGGGTCCTCCACGAACACTGTTTTTGGGATCTATTGGCAAATTGATGTTGACGGCCACCTGCGAGTTAGCATCGGTCGGGACGGCAGCTGGGACACTGTTAGGATCGGCAGTAAGCACATCGTTGCTGGGCACCAAAGTATTATTTTCGCAACTGCGAGTTTGACATTTTTAGTCTGACTAGAAATTAAGAATTCAAAGAACAAACGTAAAATAGGGTGTGTTATGGAGATTCGTATTAAATCACCACTATTATCCTTATCCCCACGGCGGGCGCCAAACTATTTTTCCCCAAATTAGGTAACAATTAAATTTGTTCGCATTTTAAAGGATACATGGTATAATTGAACACGAATAATTAGAGTAGTAGATAAATGAAGATCAAACCACTCGCAATATTAAGAGCAAGCGTGATCTTAGATTGAACAGTGACCCCGTCCTCGATTGGACCCTCGATTCGAACCCAGTCGCGAATAAAGAATAAAACAAGAAAATAATGTCTTTAACAGTAGCCAGAGAACAAAGTAAATTTTTATTGCCTTGGATTGCGTGTTACAATGTGTCAGTCATAATAAAAGCTTCACCTTTATATAGTAGGAACCTCTCAATCCTAGGATAACTCTAAAAAAAATAGTAAAAATCTTCTTTTCTTAGTAATTGTTGATCCGTAATCAACATCGAGCGAAATTTTCGCCGTGATATCTGGTTGAGGGCGAGTATTGCGGTCTTCTATTTGCCGTGCATAACAGTTCACCGTGTCTCCCAAGGTCTAGAACTTATACTCAGTCCAGGGTACGTCCTTTTACCATGTCCGGTGTCGGATATATTATTCACCCTTCCCGGTTCTCAATACGATGGTTCTCTGGCCCCGATGACAATCTCACAGATCTGTGTCCCCCTTCGTTCTTTCATATGGGAATCGGGGTAGACATTGCCCCCAATTTTACCCGTACACAAAAATACTTTTGAATTTTAGACAAGCTACCTAAAATAGATTCTTCAATTAATTATACTTTCTTTACCCACCGCTGCATTATTTTAATATTTCTCTTTCTCTTATTTTTTTTTTCTTATTATGAAAACAAGTTAATGCCAGCTTTTTTACTACCGTCGTTAGGTATTTTGCATACAACAAAAGATAATGTTGTAACTTCTTCGGATAGATTACTTTACCACAACAACAACAAAAAAAAAAAAGCATCTTCTTTGTTTAGTTAGTGGTAGGGTCCGAGAATAATAAATACAGTCTAACATAACAGCTTTTTGATAGTTGTATTGTTTATAATGTCTCAATATACTAAGATACAGCAATGTTTTATTTCACCAAGATCAAGTCAATTACATTGCAATGTTAGGTAGTTACACTACACCAAGTGAGTAACTAGTAACATAATGAAATCAATGAAGTATCGTAACGTCAGTATACACGGCCACTACTTCACTATCAAAGTATGAGTGTCTCAATCGTTTTCAATTTATTATTACATTTAAATTTAAGTATTTGAGCCTATCACCTACTAAGCATTTAAATCGGTTTCTCGTTCGTTGTTCCGTTTCTATATTTAAACTTGATCAAATTCAAATTCGTATTGGGGAAGTCTCATATAGAAGACTAAAGTGTTTCTAAGGACATCTCAAAGGGTGGACTATTTTTTGTACCAAATCTAAATTTGGTGTTTTTTTGCTCCAATAGAACACCAAATCTTGCACCATTATAGTGCGTGAATAGTGTCCCACCAAATTTGGTGTGACACTATTCATCAACACCAAATTTGATTTAATATTATTTTATTAATCTTTTTATTTTTTTGTACTTTTAATTTATCATATATTGTGTATATAATTAATTTTTATATTAAGATCTTTATAANCTTGGTTCATTCATACCAAATCTCAGACCTTGTGATTTCTTGGCTGTTAATTGATTTTCTTTCCTAAAATTGTACAACCGCGTATTTTAGAGACCTTGTCCTTAAATAACCTTTATGTATTTACCCTCAATTGCATGCTTTACACAAGTGTTTGATTAGTTTCTTTCCTTAATTGTTTTATACCCGTTTGAATTTGAATCCCTTAATTAAAGGGAGTCTTATGTGATTGATTTACAATCAGTCTTCAATTATTTTCTTACCTTATTTCCTCATGACTTCCATACTATAAATACACGACCCCTCTTTTCACAAAGCACACACGATTGAACACACTTCAAACTACACAAATTTCACAATCTCTTTCGAACTCTCGCATAAAAGTATTCTGCCTTCCTGTCTGCACTTTGGCTTTTACAAGACTACTACTCTTCTTACTTGTTTCCTTGAAACTGGTATGTCCTAATTTTAGTTTCAGCATCACCCTAATGTGTTTACTTACAGTCTTTATATCCATGTCTACTTTACTGTCTATGTAGAGTTCAATATTTAATTTAGCATGCATATGTTCTATTGCCTGTTTCTACTGTGAATATTTGCTCCCTATCCCATTACCCCTATGTGTTT